GGTCAGGGCAGGTACCCGGGCTCCGCCGGGAACCAGGGGGGTGTGGGGGGGGGGGTGGGGGGGCGAGGGCATCCGCCTTCTGCCCCTGTGGTGTCCTAGAAAGCTGGGGCCTCCCGTTGCCCCCGGGGCAGGGCCCCCCTTCCGGCACACCTGCCACGGCGAGCGCCGGGCAGCGTCGAGTTGGGTGCGTGACCCCCTCCCCGGGCGCTCGCGCTTGTCACTCCGGGACGTGGTCAGAGCGCGGGGCTTTCCCGCCTCTGCTCCCGGCCTGAGGAAGCAGCGTTGCAGCCCCTCTCCCCTACTGCCTCGGCCTCCCCCAGGATGTCTAAACTGAAAGAAAATAGTAATAGCTTTTTCTATGGACAGTGGATAGTAACCCCTTCTCCGGTGCAATGTGAGTAAAACATTTCTAGCAAAGTTTGCTGTTCTCAAGGCTTTGCAAATACAAGCTAAGTAAAGGCAGTCAGGTTGCCTCGCGAAGCGGCATCCCCACACGTCTCCGCGCCACGGAGGCTCCCGCCTCAGCTGGCCGCCGCCGCGAGAACGCCCGCGGAACCCCCGAACGGCAGGTGTCTCGGAAAACGAAAGCGGTTTCTCGCTGCTCTCCCCGCGCGGCTCGGGCGGGGACTCCCTGGCCACCGACGTGCAGCGGGGAAAGCCTCGCCCCAACCTGGGGCGCAGCGTCGCTGGGGGTGGAGGGAAGACGCCTGGAGCCGGGAGTCCACGGAGAACCCCGGAGAGGGGGAAGGAGAGTTGAGAGTCCGGGACACCAACGTCAGCCCAGGTGCTGGCGCACCCGGAAGGAAAGGGCGGGGTGGGAAGGGGCGCAAGCAGGTGTGAGGCCCGGGCCGAGGGCAGCTCCCGGGCCCGCCGTCCCCGAGCTCAGGACAGGTGGTAGGTGCGTCCGCTCCCCCCCCCTCCCCCGGCGACTGTCTCTTGGGGATGGGGGTTCTTGTTTGAGTTTTCCGGGCTGCCAGGGCAGAAGGGGGACCCTGAAGGTTTCGTCACGCGGCCCAGGGCTCCGGCGGGGCGGGGGTGTAGAGTGGGAGGGAAGTATCCCTCTCCCCGCCCCCGGACCCCCTTTCTGGTGATGCACTTCCTGCGGCCGAGGATTCCCTTTGTGTTGAAATTCGAGAAGATCCGGCCGCGGCGCGCGGCCAACGCGCCGGGGGCGCGCCGGGTTGGGGAGGGGATTCCTGCGTGGGTGGCGCGGGCGGACTGTTCCTCAAGCCCGGCTCTGGAGCTGAGGTCTCCCGCCAGCTGCACTCAGCGCCTGGCCTCCCGCCAGGTCCTGTCCCCCCTACCCCAACCCCCGCCCCAATCCTAGCGTCTTGAAACTGCTGTGTTTCTAGATAGCTAGCGCAGGCGGGAGGTGCACCCTACGTGGCGCACGGAGCCGGCTGCGGGTGGCTCCCCCTTGGGCTGAGAGAGGGAGAAATAGGAGGGAGTCCCTTGCTTCTGTACGGCCGGGGTGAATCACCTTCCAGAAAACCTAGACTGCTGATGTCGATGTAAAAGCAGAAAAACGTCTTTCTTGAAGCGGCTTGCAATTCGGCATGAAATGGAAGTGTAAATCGTGCCTCAGGTTCATGAGATTTGCACTTAGGGGTGTGTGTGTGTGTGTGTGTCTGTGTGTGTGTAAAACCTGTTTCTTCCTGTGCCTTATCTAGCCAAATGCATGAAATCACTTGCAAGAAACTAGCAAGAAAAGGCCTTTACAAAAGGTAAAAAGGGTAAGCCGAGATTTTATGCCTAAGGAAGCCCAGCCTTTGTCATTACAATTTCATTTCCAGCACCTTCTCACAGGGACTGTGCTTAGGTGTGTCAGGGTACTTAAACTAAATTCGGCTTCCATCTAAGAGTCTAGTAGATCCTACTAGTCCATAGTAGGTGGCTTTCTCCATTTCTTAGGTGCTTTCTCCACCAGAGTTGTTTTGCTTTTGTTGAGTGAACACTGCCATCACCATTCTGGTCTTCTTTAAGCGCTGGTGCAAAAACTAAGGCTTCTTGTAGGCCCATGTGGCATGCCTGAGGCCAACCTGCACCATTAAAAGCCTGGGGTGAGAGTCTCAAGCATACTAAGTTCCCTCCAACACACTTTGGCACCTTGAAATCAAAGAGGCAGGATGAGTTGGAAATTCCTATACCATGGAACACTTAAATTTCCCTAAAGGAAATACTCTTCCTGCTCCCATTGGTTTACAAAAGAACCACAACGCATGTCATTAAAGACCCTTTTCATCATCCTTTCTCCATGTCCTCAAATAAGACAACACTGTAAGAATTCAGGATAACCATACAGTATATTAAGGTCCAAGGCCTGTTTAAAGAGTTTCAAGTTCAAACAGAAAAAGACCCTTTCTTTGATTCTCAAATGTAGTGAAAATATCAAATCCCTATACTCAGGCCCAGGTGCTTTATGAAGGGTCTCTCTTTACTAAAGCAAACCAAAAATTTTAAGTCACAATTTTTCATTGATTTACTGTGTAACAAATCACCTTCACAGTCACCAACTTTTTTTTTTTTTTAAAGATTTATTTATTTATTCATACAGAACTGGGGTACAGGCCAGAGATGCGGAGGGTGAGAGGATTCAGAGACAGAGTGGGGTGCAGAACAGGCAGATCGACGAAGTACACTGCTGAGGGGAGCAGCGGGCGGGTCAGGAGAGGTCTGCCACGCCATGTGGTCCCCCTCGCAGGTGGGAATTGAACTCATGAGGAAGTGGCTTAAGCTTCTTTGTGCAGTGCTTTAACCCGCTGCGCCACCAGGGAGGGCCCGACAGTCACCAACTTTTAAACAAGGCAACAATATTTATTTTACTCATAGATTTCCTGTTTGGCCACCGCTCAGTGAAACAGCTCACTTCTGAGTCAGTTTAACCTGAGATGGGATGATACATACCTCTAGTATGGTTTACTGATGTGAGGGGCAATTTGGTGCTGATGTTAGGAATTAACTAGAAGTCCCTCAAAGTCTGCAAACCCACCAATATGAAAGCAACAATACAGGCAATTAGAAGAAAATATTGCCAACACAATTATCCCTGTAACAAAGGGGTACTAAAAGGTAAATACAGAATCTAAAAGACAATTAAAATGTAATCTAACCATAATCCTAAAAAGAAAAGCAGCTCTGGAATATTCAAGACGACATAGATTACTCTTGCTTTACACTCAAATCTATCATTAATTTTTGTCTTTAAAAAAGCTGTCCTCTAGCACCTTAAAAAAAAAATCCATGCAAACTGTCCTTTTGTGCATTTTTTCTGCCACCCTCTTGATGTTCTTATTATTTTTCACTGTAACCATCTCTCTCAGCTGGTTATCCTGCCACAAAACTATTCTTCTTCCATTCATTCATCATACTGAAGTCAGCATAATATTTTTCTTTACTGTCAGTTAATCGTGTAATCCCCCCCTTAAAAATCTCTGTAGCTGTACATAAAGAACATAATAAAACTTTATCATGTATATAATGTAGGGGCGAGCTGGCTTCCCACCACAAACATAGCAGTCTAGCTTACGATTCATTTTGAACATGATCCATGAGGAACTATAGTTCCCAGCAAGTGCTGTTCTCTTTCAGACTTTCAATCCTTTCAACTTGCTATTACCTCTATTTCAGTTGACCATCTTATACTTCAAACTGCCTCACCAATTGAACTTATGACCCAAGGTTCACCATAAATGTCACTTCCACTGAAACCTATTTTTGAGTTCCCTAATCCAATTTAAGTACTCATTTCTTTGCGTTCCTTGAGTAAATCTCATGTGCTTCTATCATAACAACCTTTCACTATAGATGGAGGCATGTGTCAGTTATAAACAGGTGTGACATAAAAAAAAAAGATTCATAATAGGATGACAACCAGGTTTCTTAGCACCTATCAATTCTAAAAAATGAGTAACAGCTACGTGGCTTCCTGAATTGAAAGTAATATTGGGGCATGCCTATGCTTAGTAAAAAAGAATTGAAGCTAAATTTGAGGTGCCTGCGATGAATTGAGAAAGAGGGTAGTGATCACATAACTGCCAAAATATGCTGAGGACCTTAGGTGATGGCAGTGTGCCAGGAGCTGTGACTTAAGCAGCAGATTTCTGTGCGTGACGTATCCTTATATATTGTCATTATAGAGACAAGTAAAGAGATAAGATTAACTGTGTGGTCCAGTGCCTTTTCTACTATTTTTCTGACTTGTAGTTGGGGTGGATTAGATTAGGTTGTAGTAGCATGAGTACCCCACTTCAAATTTGAGTGACTTAGTCACCAGCATTTAATTATTAATGTGTGCCTATAGCATAACAAAAAAGTTTCTTTTCTATGCATTTACACAAGGTGTTCAGGTTGATACTCAACCATCATGTCTAGAAATTGTAGTCTCCACCATTGTGCTGAACAGAAAAGTATGTCACCCAGAAGGTCACGTACCTACTATTCTGTTTCAGCTCAGCAAACACGTATGTCACCTCTTCTTGGAGGTTACTGACTAGCATTATTCTTCTGGCCTAACTTGTTGCCTCTGCTTACTTTCATTCCTAAAAGAGAAATAATAATGCCACCACTTGTAT